GCCTACACACTTAGAGGAAAAAAAACCATGTAAATTTAGGTGCCCTGAGACTGACATATACGAGCGTCAATTTTAGCCTAAAATTCAATCATAAAAGACACGAAAATCAGCTGAATCAAGTGTACTTTTCATCGAGCAACGAACTTATCAGTCTCGGAGCACTTAATTTTACATGACATGTTTGTTTTTTTGTATCAGTCTTTATGTTACAGCGATGTCATGTAAAATTGTGAACCGTGAAACCTACATTCGCCAACGAATCAGGACGCACATTTAGATTTTATGTTCCTGTTAAGTGCATAATTTCCATGAAGTTCAAATATTCAATTCGGTCATAGAATTCAGCATCAACAAGTAAAATCAAAGTGCGCGTTCATCATTCCGCCTATTCAGCCTAAGACAGCTCAATCAAAGCTTCATTCATATTCATCGAAATCCAACTGAGAGTAGGAGAAAAGGTGGATAAAAACGAGCCATCAATAAGATATTTTTCTCCAGTCTCTCTACCCCCCAGACAAGATCCTTTCAAGTTTGCCATCCTCTTGAGGGGAGCATTGATTTTCGCAGTTCGAAATTATTCATGGTGTTGTGCTTGTATCTCAGGGGTGATGAAGTGGAATCAACCCATGCGTGGAATTTACCACCCCTCGGTAAAAGCTCGATTTTATATCGCTGCGTTTTCCGGCTGTTCCTTGTGCTTCGCATTTCGTTCGTTTTAGCCTACAGGTAGGCGTATATTTTTCGTTTGTTTGGAGATAAAAGGTGGAAAATTTAAATCGATCGAAGTAGGTTAGATAAGTTGTCAACAGAAACATGGTTTGCTTATATTTTTTTAAAGGTTGAGCGAGGCCATACAGTTCATGACCATAGTATGAAAATATTGTATTGTACAACACAAAAAAGCTTGATTGGGATTGCCATCGTTGGCATACGGCGTCAATACTCAGAGCTTGCTTATTCCAACAAGAGAAAAATAATATTTTTTTGACTTGAGCTATCTTTTATAGACATTGTTTGATTAATAATAATAATGCCAGAGACGAACCAGCCAATGGCTGAAAGTCTCTTTAATAAAGTAACCTAACCTAACTTAATAATAATGTTTTGAAATTACTTGCATAAACTCAAACATGTTTTGAAAGTTCTACCTAAAGTTAAGCTCAATTAAAGTAATAACACAGGAAATAAGAACAAACCGTAGAAATACACACCAAAAAATTCTGAATGTTACTGGCGATGTAAATATTCATGCATGTAAACATTTATACATGTAAACTTACTTTTCACGTAAACTAGCAGCTTGCAAGAAATGTTGCAAACAAAAGTGGACAGTTGCATACAATATATGGAATATTGCATGACATGTCTCATAAATTTACACGATCTATAATCTAAACATCTATGATATATGACGCTCCATTTATGTGCATCAGAGTAACGGAAATTTACACTACTTTTTTTGAGCTGTGTAGGATAGATTGAGCCTGGAGTCAAATCCTCTGCCATCAGCATCACAAGTAGGTAGTTGCGATTGTTTATCTGATTTTGAGCTTGGAGTGGCATCCTAACATAAAATTTGAGCTGAATAAGCTATCTTTTCATTGAAGAAGCATATTTCAGCCTGGATAAGCTCATATTTAGCATTCAATGTTTATAGGGATAGGTTGGACTTGGAAATGTACCAAAATCTACATAAAACATGTTTCTTATAGAAAAAAAACTTCAGCTTTCAAATGGTATGCTTAGTTTTTAAATTGGTGGGAAATAATATTAAGAAAGACTCATTTCTATGAAAATAAAATCTAATATGGCACCACCAAAATTCTAAACCATCCATAGCCCTGAAGTTTCCGTTTGAAATAGTATGTATAGTATTCTTAGATAGATTTTAGCCTCAAATGCAAATGCAAATTTGGAAGGAATCCTTAGAGGTCCCTATTCAAAAAGTTGCTGGAACGATTAAAGCCGAAGAGTTTCGTCTCATCAACATGTTGCACACATTAGAGAAAATTTTAGAACTTGTTGTTAAAGCACAGCTGTTCGAGTATTTAAATAGTAATAGTTTGTTGAACAATCTGGATATCGGGAAGGTCATTATTGTGAAACCGCGTTGAATTTGGTATTAGCGAAGTGGAAAAATAACTTGGAGTGTAAAGATACGATTGTTGCGGTTTTTTTTTTTTTTTTATCTTAAACACGCTTTTGAAACAATTTCCATACCCTTATTGTTAAGATCAATCAAGCGCTTTGGAATCACGAGTTCTGCATATAAATGGTTTGAAAGCTATTTGTCTGACAGAACTCAACGGACGGTTTTAATGATTCTGTTCCCAGTCCCATGGGGAATAACCTTGGACTGCCCCAGGGAAGTGTATTAGGGCCCATCGTAATGCATCATTGTTTAAATATTTTTATTTAAACTCGATTTATTTTAAAGAATTACCTTTGCAACAAATACAACGCATGATTGTGTTATATCGCAGATATGCTGCAAGCATCAATATTGACAAGTTAAATGGTTAGGCGTTATCTAACCTAATAAATAATAAGCTAATATGCAATAAGCTTGAAATGTTAGCGGTGCCGGTGGTGTATTTGTAATCGTGATTGCCTTTCACCCCAAAAGGCCTGGGTTCAATCCCAGTCAGCGCCGCCGGGATTTTCTCCGACATAAAATCTCTGATCACGGAAGTAAAGTCGTTGGTATCCGGTCCATGAGTTGATGGGTCGATAGGGTAGGGTCCAGGAGTGGGAGCTGCTTCCCTGGCGTCGGTAGTCATGACAGTACTCAGTACGAAAAACAAGATCGACGGAAAACAAATCAAGAAAAAAAGCTCTAAATGCCAGGAAGAAGAAGAAAGATGTTCATAAAAGATTTTGCCTATGAATCCACCCACCCCCTTTTTGGCCTTTCATACAACGGCATGTCGCGGACAATTAGAGATGCTTGTTCAAGTCGAACAGAAAGGAAAATTCACAGCTGCCGGAGTTAGTTTCCGTGTTACAATAAGTGGTACACTACACAGCAAAAAATAAGGAATATTACATGACATGTAAACCAAAAGCATTTTAAAACTACATCGCTTCAAACTACAAACTTAGAAAAAATCATGTAAATTTAGGTGCTCTGAGACTGACATAGCGAGCGACTTGACGGTCGAGCGTCAATTTTGACATAATAATAAGTCATAACAGACACAAAATTCAACTCAATCAAACGTACTTTCCGTCGAGTAACGAACTTTTCAGTCTTGGAGCACTTAATTTTACATGACGTATTTGTTTACGTCTGATTCTTTATGTCAAAGATGGATTCCATCACGTGTAAAATTAGTTATTTCTAAGTGTGTGTGTTTCAATTTAATTTTACATTAAAAATCAACCAGATAATAAAAACATGATAAAACTCATAAAATTACAAATTTATTCGAATGCTCGTGTAAATTTAAATCAATAAACATTGAGAAAGATAATATGGCGGACGGACCGACTATTCGATCAGTTTTTTCTCCGCTCAGTTTGTTTTGTTTTGTACGCTCAGTTTTGGTTATGTGGAAAAAAATTATCGTGCATACGCGCGTCCGCAAAAAAATGAATGACAGACAATATATTAATTAAAGCGTTTTATACAGAGAGCACTTTAAGTTCGTGCAGAAAATCAAAAATTTGGTTATGGAAAAATAGAAAAATATTCAAAAATGCGCTCGTGGTTACTTTTTTCTCCTGACTGATCATTTTGATGCAGCGGTGGAAGTTTAGGGTATGTACTGTGCCGCGAAGGCGGGTTATTCCACTTGGATGATAATTCCGCTTGACAATCAGTTCGATTTTATGCAAATTCGTTCAAAAAGCCAAATGCGTGTAATTTTAAATGTCCCGTAGAATTACAAAGTGAGCCCATCTAAAGCCATCCAAAGCAAATTCAAGTGACGTTTAATGTGGGGGCGACCACGGCGTAGTAGTTAACATCCATACCTCTCACGCCAAAGTCACGAGTTCAAATCTCACCCCCGGACAAGTCACGAATGACCCATAAGTGTTAAAATGACTACAATAAAAAAAAAAAAAAAATTAACATGTATGTAAATTTCAAGTCGTGTAAATTTAAAAACCAATTTAATTTTACACGAATATGCATGCTCTTTTATGTGAATGGAAATTCGTGTAAAATTACAAAATAATTTTAACTGTGTACTGTCATGCATCATCATGCATCATACATGCGGTTAAACATTTCAAATTCTGTATATCTTTTGTGCAAATGTGTAATAGATGTTAGGTTATCTTTCTTTCAGCCATAGGCTGGAATGTGTAATAGAATTTCAAGTAGTATCTTGCACACTTAGAAAAAATCATTTAAATTTAGGTGCTCTGAGAGTGACATATACGAGCGTCAATTTTGACATAAATTTGAGTCATAACAAACGCGAAATATAGCTTAATCAAACGTACTTTTCGTCGAGTAACGAAATTTTCAGCCTCGGATCACTTAATATTACATGACATGTTTGTTTACGTCTCATCCTTTATGTCAAAGACGGATTCCGTAACGTGTAAAATTAGTTATTTCTAAGTGTGTGCATTTCCTGGTTGGGTTACATAATACAGTCTCCATATATAGATGTTTTATATCTCGATATGTAAACACTTTTTCTATGAGTCGATGGTTATTTCGGTCCCTTCAAACGGTCTAGTGGGCTAATTTATTGATAATCACGTCCTCATAATTGATAAGGATCTGTTAGTTAAACACTTATTTAAGTGAGATACGGACGATATACTGAACCACCGTATCCATCTTCCAATAAATTTTACTTAGCTTTATCAAATTAAATTCCTGTTAAATTTGAAATCCATAAAACTGCCAAGTGATGCAAAACATTTTCAAATAAGGCAATAAATTTAAAGCCATGCTTGAAGTCACATTAATTGAACACAGTCAGGTTCCCTGCGGTAATTTACGATCACACTGCACAATAATAATCTGCTTGGTTACTCACCTCAGTCGCTCCCGCCTTTGTTGGTACGATTTTTGATTGGTTCGCAACCGTTCCAAGATTGTCCGGTACTCCTGGAGCTTCTGACTAAACTCAGCCAACTCGATTAGCATTTTTATTTTATTCTGCTGCTGCTGGTGGGTAACCGCTTGCTGTGATTTAATAACACAACACGCTGCCTTCGATCACTTCGACTCACTGACCACTGGAATGTTTCTGTCAATTATTGGCACGCGCATAATTTCGAAAACTTCCTGGCTCATCTAGAAACAATTAAATAGAAAGGGCATTCGATTTAAGAATGTAGACGAGAAATTCGAACAACAGGCACTGAAGCTGAACACTGTTTTCAACCAAATGAGCCTGTCACCTTTCGACAATGTATGTTTATGTTCATACATTTCCTCACGTTCATCACACTTGGATTGGATCGCTATTATCGGTTAATAGTGATTAAAGCACTACTGTGGAGCCGTTTGAGCTAAGCAAGCGCCCAGTCACAGTTGATTTGTCAAGCAATTATGACATTGTCTCACACCGTTCGCGCGGTCAGTTCGTGCCTACTAGCTGCAACGTCGCGGCGGCGCATTCACTCCTAAACGGATAAAATACGCGAAACACGAAACAACATCAACGAACGAAAATAAAATAAAAACACAGACGAAACGAATATCGAGGTTAATTGTAGCAATTTCACTTTATAATAGTTTCCAGTGTTGTCGCTTTTTGGCAGTAAGCTTCTTCTGATGCACTCCCGTTGTTGATGGCCACACCGGTGCCGGTGGTAGCAATTCCGATCCGTCACCCATAAGAACCATCAATCTTCGATTCTACGCGGTTTTTCTAGCATTACAGCATCTCTCGCCCGTTCATCATCACTCGCGTCGGATTGCTTATTTTGCGCTTTTTCCCCTCCAATTAGTCACCCCCTTTTGCTGAACGATTGAATTCTTGTCTCATTAGATGTAATAGCGGAGACCTTGGCATACTTCTCAGAGGGGTTACTTTCAAGAAGGATTTTGTCTTGGTAAATGGATTGATGGAAATGTATATGAATGATTGCAAAATTAACTCACAACTTTCCACTGTTATAGAATTAACTAATTTATATATTTAAAAAATAAATCATAGAATTCAACTGGTAGTGTGCGTCTATGAAAATAAGCAAACTTATTGTTATACTTGTAAGTAAGCAAGCGTCCTTGATTTTTTTTTTCTCATTTGGGTGGTTCAAACGATGCATATTGCTTAAAACAGCGCATACGTTTTCAAATCTATTTGAGCTCATTTGGTTACATCTGAAAAGGACATTTACGCTTATGTTATGGTAATTAATGTGACAATAGTGGATAATCTGAAATCGATTAAGATGTATGGACCAAAATGGATAATTTGTACTACCCTAATAAGCATTAGATCAAGGAAGCAACTTTTCCGCTGAGTTAATGAGACAACATGGAACACGACTTATCCGAAATCTCCCTACATTTGTACAAATCTCACATAAAGCGAAAACTTTTCTAACACATGAATCCTCGTTATCTTCCCCAGTGGACACTTTGATGACACGAGCTGGAACGTAACAGCAGCAGCCTACTACGTTTCTTCTGCGTTCCCAACAACACTCACTACTATCTTTACTGCGGTCATGACAGTTTGGATATCAGAACAACAACTGAAAGCGCCGTGTGTCTTCCATGCAGCAAACGTGTACCAGCAACAAAAGTACATACACAAAAAAAAACCGACAATGAAAACAGAAGATAAATAAAAATGTGTGCCTCTCTCTTCTGCTCGGCCTACTTTGACCACCGGACTGAACGACGAAGACTCCAGCGTGATTCGTATTGTTGGAGTGTCACTCGGCATTTATTGTCATCGCACAGTTTCGACCAATTAGCACTAAGCTTTATGACAATCGTTGGTAATATTGGGGCGATTTCAGTTCCTAAAGTGACCCAATCACAGTTTATGAATAAGCTTCGCACCTGTGAACTGTTGAAGCACTGATTTCTGCAAGAGATTTACAGCACTGACTTGCAAGTAAAATCTCGCGATCTGCAAAATCTTGAGCTAGGGTAATAATTCAAAACGGTCGAAGAAAACGTTACCACCTCCGACGAGATGACGATCGAATGAAGGCGCGCAATCCATCGTCGACAAGCAGGTGACGTCGGAAAAATAAGATGTAAAGAATTGTTCGCTTGTCTCACTCTGTCTAAACGTGCAATTAGAGGAGCAATCAAGAGAAATACGAAGTATCTACAACAACAGCAGCAAAACACTTGCTACAGCCACTGTGGCTGCTGTTGTGGTCGAGTTTTCTCACTCATCCGGGCTTATGATGCGGGGGGTATCCGAAAGGGAATGGTACCTTCAATCAGTACAAAAAATGATCGCTAATCTTAAAAGTCTCGGACAATAGTATGTCCATGTCAATTATTGTGTGATATGAAATATAGTATACCGTTTGAAATTACACGTTTAGTTTTTGTCCTTGTCATCTTATGGAACAAAACTGTTTTCTAATTATGATAGTTGTTATCATATTTAAAGAAATGCCTAAACCATTTATTACATTCTACTAATCGGGACACCCTTCCCCGCACACCACAGATTTCATGGGAGAATTTCGATTCAATAACTGAAAGTCGGAGAAACAATAACACCTAGCGAGTGCACTAGAGTGGGTACCAGCATCAGATTAGACGGTACTTAAGTTGCATCTCTCTCTTCCTACAGCTACAGTTAGTAGTGTAAGGTAACCATTTCCATGGCTGTTATTTGTATTACAACACCCGAGCGAGTCGGTTTCAACCTTGAGAGGGTTAATGTTTATCTCGAATTAATTAATTGCGGTACATGTAGTGTGTTTTGCGCTGTTCTTCCCAATTGCCCGTTCTACACTCCAGCTGTAGTTATGGGCTAAACACTTCCAGCTATTTTCATGGCTTTTAACGAACTAAAAGTGCTACCTTCGCCATTGATCCTGATCGAACTGTTTGTAACATATTGTAAAAATTGTATAAACACATTTTTAAGAAATATTTAATATTATCAAATATTTTATTGTACGCAAAACCTTGCAATTTAAAAAAAAAATCTCAGCGGAACTTAGCTTCCTCTCACGATTGGACATAATCAGACCTACTCATCGGGGATAATATCCGTGAGATAAGGGAAGCAAAATATGAATAAGCTCTTATCGTCATCCACTGACGACGTATTCAGACAGCAATCGTTGTTCAAACAGGTGTGCCCACTTTGAATATTTTTATCGGTACCGGCTGTGTACTGGTAAGCATGATTGCCTCTCACCCCAAAAGGCGTGGGTTCAATCCCAGTCGGCGCCGCCGGGATTTTCTGAGGCATAAAATCTCCGATCACGGAACAAAAGGGAACCTACCCATCGACCCATCAACTCATGAACCGGGGACCAACGGCTTTACTTCCCTTCCGAAGGAAGGCGTGATCAGAGATGTTATGCCTCAGAACATCGTGGCAGCGCTGACTGGGATTGAACCCAGGCCTGCTGGAGTGAGAGATAATCACGCTTACCACTACACCACTGGCGCCGCTTAACATATCCAAAATTGTCATTGCCATCATTGCCATTGCCATCAATTTGTCCATGTAAAAGGTGTGGGCAACCTTTGTGCTTCTTCCTTAACAAAGCCTTTCGGATCATACCCATGTTACATTGCAAGTTTTATTGAAGTCTTAAAGCATATTTCAAGAACAAATCAGTGTCTACAAGAATATAATAAAACTAAAATTGTTACTTGGTTACTGTAATGGTCCCATTGCACAGTGGTTGAAATCGGCATTTTCGTGCGCTTAATTAATAGCTCCTTTATCATGAAATTAAGAGGTATGGTGTCTTGAGAGAAGTGTTTCAATATGTTACTGCGCTTCTTTTGATGTTTTTAGTTAAAAGATTAATCCCCCTAAAAGTGAGATCGAAAATTTATTTTTTCAACTATTCAAGATACAGTATTGGAGTCTTCGACAAAGTTGTAGAAAATTTTTTTTCAAAGAACTATGCTGAAGACGCTTAATTAATATCTTTTTTACTTTTCAAGATATGTGAAGTTTATTGACGAAGGTCCCTCAAAAATGGTTTTCTCATCATAACTTTTTGATCTACATTTTTACGGCTTTGTCATGTTCTAGTAAGTTGTAGATAATAATAAAATACACAATATTGTAGAACACCGCATTGCAGTATCTTCTGTAGAAAAAAAGTTATTGAAGTTTTTGTAGATTTTTAGACCATAGTTTATGAACTTGTAACTTAGCAGGGGGCAAAATGGGGCAATATACCCATGGTGCATCTGAAACTTTAATAAATTCATTTCAAAATGATAGCAAACATCTGTGAATGTAAGCGATTGTTGGAAAACTATGATTTAAACAAAATAGTGATAGCCGTGCCTAAATGTGCATGCTATTGCATCAGAATTGCCGCACCTAGTGTTAGAGATATCTTGTATACATTATAATGCTACTGTTGAAATCAAGTAAGCCATGACCCAAGACTTCAATCATTTTTTCTGAGTCCCTTAGCAACCATCGACAAGTGAAGTAAAATAACATTGTTAAATCTTAATTATTTGTTGGACATTGAGTGGTTTGAAAGCTCTATTGTGTACACGAATCACGGTAACAGTGCCCAGTTTTCAACTGTATAAATGGCCTCCATCGGTATGTAAAATATCTCAATTTTAAATTTGATTGTCTATGTTTTGGAATTTATGCCAAGAACTATTTTTTAAATCATTCTTATATTCCAGTTGAAATCGATAAACATCATCTATTTTCAACATGGAGAGCAGCAGGAAGGAGTTCGGCGATAAAAAATCGCAGCGTATTCAAAGAGGTCCTGAAAGCCTATTCGATTGATTCAGACATTATGCCGGAAGTTGCTGTGGAGGTTGAAAAGTATACCAAAACTATTTGTGATATTTTTCAAAGGCTTTGGATAAAACATAATCGCACAGCTGACAGGGTGCTGCTCCACCATTTTGAGAATTTCAAAATACCTTTCAAACTTCCAGCAAACATCCTCAATATGCTTCCTTCGTCATCATCGAGCGTCCCGGCTGGGCGTAAGCCAATACCATTCGAAATGTGTAGTGACTCGACTAAAAGAAAGAAAACAGCATCCATTCGTGAGAACTATCAAGCAGAAGAGCTTGTATTTGCAACGCAGATGAAGCTACGCGAGTCAGGTCAGAAACA